TCCTCATGTTCCTAATCCTCCTTAATGTTCCACTGGAATAAATTACCACAGAAATTTTTGGTTAAAAAACACTGATTTATTATCTAATGGTTCTGGAGGTCAGAAGTCTTAAATGAGTCATAAGGAGCTAAAATCCAGTGTCAGCAAAGGATCTGGGGAAAAATCTACTCCTTGCCTTTTCCAGCTTCCAATTGCCTGCATTTTTTGGCTTGTGGCTACATCACTCCTCCCTCTGCCTCTATTATCACATGTCCTCTGACTCTCATCCTCCTGCCTCTCTCAATGTGATTACATCAGTCCCACATGGAAAACCCAGGGTGACCCCCATCTCACAGTCTTTAACCTTAATTATACTTGAAAAATCCCTTTAGCCATTTAAAGTAAAATATTCATAGATTATGGGATGAGGATTTACACACCTGTAGGGGTCATATTTCCGCTCACCATAATAGCTAAGGCAAATCAAGGAGTGTTGTAGATGTAAATCTCACAAGCAGACTGAAGTATTTGGTTTTAAATGTGCTGACATTATGAGCTAGTCACTATACCTTGGAGCACCAAAGCAAAATTCTGAAATCAAATTCTGTTTGACAAACATTTTTTAAAAGATTTTATTTATTTTATTATTTGAGAAAGAAAGAAAAGAAGCATGAGGGAAGGTGTGGGGAGAGTGGCAGAGGGAGAAGGAGAGGGAGAAGCAGATTCCCTGCTCAGCAGGGAGCCCAATGCAGGACTTGATGCCAGGACTCTGGGGCCATGACCTGAGCCAAAGGCAGATCCTAAGCCAATTGAACCACCCAGGTGTCCCCGTTTGACAAGTGTCTACTGAGTGCCACTGTTTGCCATCCAACATGCTATGGCTTCTGAGTCTGCCTTCAGAGTTACAGATTCGGTTCCCTGGTTGTTTTTCAATCAGAAACATTTGGCTTGAAGTATATGAAAGTATAGGAGCCTCAAGAATTATGGTTTAGGGAATCATGGTAAATGTAACCCCATGAATATGTTTATAAGTAAGTTATATGTTCAGGTTTCCATATCTTCAACTTTACTATATAAGCCCAAAATCTGTGAACCAAAAATTATGCCAATGCCTATATTTGGAGCTTCAATTATATATTGATTACAGTATTCCAGGAGCCTAGAATATTAATGAATAAAAAGCTAGAGGTAGAGTAGGTGAATTGATCAGAAAATTTGCTGGAATATATGCCCAAACTTCTACTTAAATTATCCCATGTTTATATATAAACCATCAATACTTATTGCCAAAGTCAGTCCTTTCACTTGAGCACTAATTTCTATCCCCTCTCACCTAGTCTAGAATGTCCCTTCAGTCTTTTTACCTTCATGTCAATTTTCTTCTCTCTACCAAAAGAATTTCATCAACATGCAACCACTTTTCTTGTTTTCTTATGTTTTATTATTTTTAAAAATTTTTAAATTTATTTATTGAGAGAGAGACCACATGCAAGCAGGGGGAGTGGCAGAAGGAGATAGATAATTGCAAGCAGATTCCACACCAAGTGTGGAGCCCAGTGCAGGGCTGGATCCCACAGTCCTGAGGTCATGACCTGAACCAAAATCAAGAGCCACCCAGGTGCCCTTTCTTATTGTTAAATACAAGAGATAAAAAGAAAAAAAAAAAAAAAAAAGAAAAAGAGGACAAAATATTCTTGGTCCTCTTTCTCTTGTCAATTATTAACCCATTTTTGGTTTGTTTTTCATTGAGCAAAATCACCAAAAGAATTATCTATAGTAACTCTAAGTTTTCTCTTGAAATTATTCCAGTTAGGCTGTTGCTCACACCACCCAATATAGCTGCTCTTGTCAGGATTAAGATGACATTGCAAAATTCTGTTGTCAGTTCTCAGCCCTCTTTGGCATCAGCAGTATTCATCACTGTGATTCCTCCATAATCCTGGATATTTTTTCATTTGTTTTCTAAAATATTTTAATATCTTTTTTTTAATTTTAATTCTCCCAATCTCATATAGTATTCCTTTTCAGTCCCTTGTGCTGGTTCTTCCTCTTTTCATTGATCTAACATTGGAAGGTGCTAGACTTCAGGAGCCTTCTCTTTTTCCCATCCCAGGTACTTTTTCTGAATTTATTAATTATCTCATTTGTTACTTCTAAACTTGATTATATAATAGAAATCATCTACTTTACCATGTTTTGCAAAACTAAACACCTGCTTTCATCCCCCAAACCTGTGCTACCAGCAGGCTTCCCCATCTTGGTTGATGGCAACTCTAATACCTAAATATTGTGCTGTGAGTTGAGGAATCTTGGAAGTCTTTATTTATATTAACTTATCTTCATAATAACCCTGAGACACAAGTTCTACAATTTTACCAGGCATAAAGAGGAAACTAAGAAATAAAAGCCTTAACCAAAGCTACCAAAGTCACACAGTCAGTGAGTGACAAAGCCAGCATCTGATCTTGGGGAGGGTTTTCCCAGAGTGATCATGGAATCCCTGCACTGAACTTGATGATTCACAAACTCTTCTCGTCTTTCATAGGACATATAAAAAATTTTGTTGAGAACTCTCTTTATTCCTGGGATAGCTAAAATTAATTACTTCCTTTCCTATGCCTCCACTATCCAATAGCACTTTTATCAAAGTACTTTTTTTTTTAAGATCCTATTTACTTGTTCATTAGAGACACACAGAGGGAGAGAGGCAGACACACAGGCAGAGGGAGAAGAAGGCTCTCTATAGGAAGCCTGATGTGGGACTCGATCTCGGGACTCCAGGATCACACCCTGAGCCAAAGGCAGACACTTAACTGCTGAGCCACCCAGGTGTCCCAGTATTTTTGTCTCTGTTCTAAGATCAGCTCCTTCCTGTGAAGGAAGATAAGATCTTTCAGAAGCTAAGAACTAGGGTGTGGGCCATCCCTGTTCTCACATGTTCTAGCTGCTAGTCACTTTTTTTTTTTTCTTCAAAGGCTCAACTGTATATTCAGGTTTTTATTGATTCACTGACTGCTAGTGTCAGTCAGCCTACTACAGCGAGAGCCTACAGTAGTTTTTGGCTTCACTAGTCTCAGTCGTATATTGTGGCTGAAGTAATGAGACAATCAATGTCTGATAGTACCAGAAGTTCCTTCTCACTGGTGGATTAAATGACCTGTTTTTAATTTCTATTTATGTTAAGTTGGTTTGGGAGAATGGAACTTTTGTCATGTGTGTGATATAAATGCAACTTTCTCATTAAATCCATCCACTTGGCATAGCTAGATGATTTGACTTCTTTTCCATGTTCTGATTTGCATTTCAATTCTTCAGTGGGTCTGCACTTTTTGTGGTTGTTGTCATTGGTTGCTGTATATGTATTTTGATAGGATACACCCATCAATCCACTACTGAAAATATCATAAATTGAAATGAATTCATGACACCTAATCTACTGAACATCATAGTTAAGTCTAGACTACATTAAACATGTTCAGAACCTTCATATAAGCCTACAGTTGGACAAAATTACCTAACCTGGATTCTATTTTATAATGTAGTGTTGAATATCTTATATAATTTACTGTACTGGAAGTAAAAAATCGAATAGTTTTATGAGTACAGAATGGTGTTAAGTTTGTTTACCTTTGTGATCATGTGACTCATTGCTGTTGATCAGAATCACTGGATAGTATCCTATCACACATAGCTAGCTTGGAAAAAGATCCAAATCCACAATTCAAAGTACAGTTTTTACTGAATGCTTATCACTTTCACACCATGATAAAGTAAAAAGAAAAAAAAAAAGCTGAATCACTAGAAATTAGGGATAATCTCTAGAATTTCCATTAGGTTTTAGGGATTTAAACTTATGGTCTTTCCCTAGTTACTTTTGATACCTCTATGACAGTTGAAAAATTAGAAATGAATATTTCTGGAGAATTCAGATGAAATGTTCCTACAGAATCAAAGCAAAAGAGCTGAAGTTCCTAAATCTTTGGTTTTATTGGCCTCCCAAACTATGAGCTACTTATTGTCTTGCTGCTATATCTTCTATTGTGGAGGCCGAGAAAATTAAGGCCTTTCCACCTCAAGTTTAGCATTAGCACAAGTACAGCCATCTCAGGCCCCTGAGAACAAGAGCTGAACTTTACCCGACTTCAGTCACAGGAAAAACCGCAGAACGCCCTTGACAGAAAGTCCCATATTGGAATGAAAACAGAACTTAAGAAACTCCCCCCACCCTTTCCCCCATATCAGAATGAAGAAATCCCCCCCCTTCTGGAGGTCCCCTAGACCAGCCCTTAAAACTAAGCTGAAACCCACCTGGGGTCCAAGTCCCTGGTCCACTGTGTCGGGTGTACTTGGACCCAAGCTCCAGCTTGTTAATAAACCCTCTTGTACTTGCATTGGTGTCAGCTCCTTGGTGGTTTCTTGGATTCACAATCTTGGGCACAACATCTATACCATATTATCTAAATTTCGGAGGGAAGGAGAGTACCTATTCTTTTCAACCATGATTTGTTTTATGAATTCCTCTGATGCATAGATCTCCTCTTTTGGAACCAAGAGTCTGAAATGTTATTAGCTCCCTAAGAGTCAACTCTTAAACACTGGTTGACATATTGATCATCAAACCTAGTTCTTGCTGCATACCATTTAAGAATTAAAAAAAGTTTTGTGAAATTAAAGCTGTCTACAGAATTGAGATGAACATGCTGTCTTGTAGCATAACTGTCAGCTTTTATTAATGACTTTTCGTGGCTGTGAGAATATTTTTTTCCCCTTTGGTGTTTATCATGAATAAAACAACTCCAAAAAAATATTGTGTTAGTAAGAGACCTGATTTGGATATGACCAAACAGCTTTTTTTTTTTCAATTTCTAAGATTTTATTAACATGAGTTTTTAAAAACAAACATCCCTAGCAGTGTGAGGGAGAGAGTAGAGAAGAGGGGAGGGGAGAGAACAGGAGGGAAGAGGAGGTGCGGAGTTGAGGGGAGGGCAAGACAGGGCAGGACAGGGGGAAGGAATTCTGCTTTATTGGTAATAAAGCTCCAGGTTCATCCCATTGCGGATTTCATAGTCCCCCAGAGACACGTGGTCCTTGGAAATCATGTAGCACTTCTTCAGGATGGTCTTGTTCCAACAGGTGCCAGTCTGGGCTGCAATCAGCTTCTTAAGGTCCCCGATTGTGTCATCAGTGTTGCACTTAACGCGCACCTTCTTCTCTAGACGGTGGTTGCAAACAACCTGGATCATCCTGTCTGGAGCTTTCACAGACATGCACACCCTTGATGGCTGGGTTTTTCTTTTTCTTTTTCTTTTTCTTTTTCTTTTTCTTTTCTTCTTTCTTTTTCTTTTCTTTTCTTTTTCTTTTTTTGGCCGGGTTTTTCTTAATACGGTCTATGATGCCCAGAACATAATGGACTTGACAAGCCTTGATTATAGAAACCTCATTAAGTAGAAATATATGTATTATGCCTTGCTAACAGATTTTAATAACTTGCATACTATCATACTCTGTGGCTTACCTAGTTAAGTGTATGGGGAAATTTGAAAAGTTTTTGATAAGTTATTTTTTTTTCTGTTCGTTATAGTCAATTTTGAAGCAACAACTATATTTATCATATAATCTGCAAACAGTTGTCATTTTGTAGAGTTTATAAATTTGATCTGTATATAAGAATGAAAACATGTTTGATTTAATCTAAAGTCTGCTTACTTTTGGTTGTCATTCACTTAAATGCACTCGTGATCAAGGAAAAATTTTATAAGTGAAATTAGTAAAGTGATTGATATATTCTATTAATAATCTTTAAGCATACACATATACCAGATAAGAAACTAACAAAATATATTTTCAGTAGAGCTTGTATTTATTGATTATTTTGGTTACCATGCCTTGCTACTTGGCTGATATTTGTGAGAAGAAAGTGGAGGTTTCCCCAAATGTACTGCATATTAGAAAATCCTTAAGAATAATTTAAGGCTTTGAAATGGTAAGCTCTGGTATGACCATTGCATTGTCCCTTAAACATTTCCAAAAACTTGAGTAGTTACTACATTTTTTGCTTTTTAATGCCACATAGTTTTCATCATATTAGGGTAAGAAAGCTATTTCTTTTTTTTTTTTTAAGAAAGCTATTTCTTAATAAGTTTTCTATAGTATACTAAATGGAACCAGCAGTTAGCTGTTATGAAAGGATAAATTATAACAACTTTGATCAAAAAAGATTTTTAAATATTGAACAATTAAGACTAAAATGATAATTAACTATATGAAGTGGAATTGTTTCTCCATTGTCCTGTTATTTTTCAATGTCATAAATACATACAAATCTCATGTAGGTAAGTCATTTCTGCATTTTTTTGGTAGAGATTTAATGAAAATATATTTTTTAAATTCTATAATTTCTATAACCATTATTTTTTATAACGATTATTGAAGAAATTAATTCATAGGTACATATTAAAATTATGAAAAAGGATTATGTTATACACAGTGTGTGCAGCCTTTCATTCTGTAAATATTATCTATTTTATTTGATATATATTCTTATTTACAGATTACCTATCATTTCACTATAATCTAATACTTTACAAATTCAAAGAGACTTTTTTTAAAATTATATTTTATGATTATAAAAGTAATATATAAATATATATGTATATATGTAATATATAAATTACAGAAATAAATTATGGTACAGAAAGAATTACAATAAAAATAAAATTCTTATACATTTTGATCACTTTTGGATAATACAAAAATTTTGCCATGTATCTTTCTTCATATATAATAGTATAAATAGTGTATACAGTATATATTTATAGAATATATGTAACATGCATTATATATAGTATATATGATATGTATAATAGTATATGTATACAGTATACAATATATATAATTCACCGTCTAAAGAATGTTCATTATTATATCTACATAATACAAAATAACACTTAATTGCAGCATGTTTCATTGAGTAAATCAAATTTATATAAATTATCTAGTATGGAATATTAGTTTATTCCCAATTTTTTATTATAAACAATATGATGATAGAGATTATTATACATATTTTTATATACATGTACATTTGTAGAGGATAAATTCCTAGAAATGCAATTCTTGGATATAACAGTCCATGCATTTTTAATAATTTTTATCTTCATTACCAAATTATCCTTCTGAAAATCTCATATGTAGAATTTGATACTATTAATTCCTCCCTTCCATATTAAACATTATAATTCACTTAAATATTTGACCTTACAATTGGCAAAAAATGGCAGCTTGTTCAATTTCCATTACAAGTGAAATTACTTTATCTTATGTATTCATAACATACAGAAGATGCAATGTTGTTTCTGTTTACTCATGCTCTCCACGTGCATTTCATAAGTAAAGTGTTCAGTTCATTCTCATTTGGTTTTAGTAGAATTTTAGAATGAGTTGTAAAATTGTATTAAAATTTTTTTCTCTTACATATGCTAGATATATCTGTGTAAATTTGCAAGTGACTTTTACTACTTTCAAAGTTTGAGTTTTCTTAGTACTACACATCTGAATTTTCATTTGTTTTAGCTGTATTTCCTATGTCTTTTTCTTTCTGTCCTCTATCTCTCTGTTTTTCCTTCCTTTTTTTCTTATTATTTTACATTCTAAATATCTATAAGAGGGACGCCTGGGTGGCTCAGTGGTGTAGTGCTTGTCTTTGGCCCAGGGCATGATCCTGGAGTCCTGGGAACAAGTTTTGCATCAGGCTCCCTGCATGGAGCCTGCTTCCCCTTCTGTCTGTGTCTCTGCTTCTCTCTCTGTGCCTCTCACGAATAAATAAATGCAATTTTTAATAAATAATACATACATACATACATATCTATAAGAATAGATGATGCTGGGTATAACATTCTATTAAAAATAAAAGTGGTACATTTTACATAAATAAATTATATTTAATTGAATTGTTATTTCTAAATATACTTGAAATGTAGGCCTATTTAAATGGGCATATTGGTTATATTCATAATGAGCACTAAAACCTGTAAATTGAAATATTTCATTTAAGCAAAATATGTTGGGTGATAACTTAATTATTTCCTAGAAATATCTTTAGTAACAGATTTAAATTTCAAAAATAATTCTTAAAAGATACATATTTTAAAACTATTTAATAAAATGTTGATCATCAGGTAACTTTTTCAATTTGGAATTTTTGTGTGTTTGTTTTCTTTATTTTCTTATTCTGGGAGGAAAATGTCACTGTATAATCTACCAGAGGATAAATGACAAAGTAATTTTTTTCCAAATATAGTGAAAGCAATTTTTAAAGGGTAATCTAATTGATTCAAATAATCATACATTCAATTGTTTAGTTCCTCTTATTTATATTCCCTATGAACTTCTTATTTATAATACCTAGTCTCTACATTGACCTACTCCTTCTATATGACTTATTGGTTTTTTTTCATATTACTTAATAGCTCAGAAGCAAGACAATAGTTTATCACATATTAGAAAGTGAACTATACATATTTCAAAAAAAATAATCTTATGTGATATTGATCAGCCCCTTGTGACATGAAATGTTGGTGTCTGGGAGCGAATGTTGAAAAATTCTTGAGATATTTTTGTTACAAAAAATGTGGTTTTATTAAAGCATAGGGACAAATGTGAACAGGACCGTGGTGGGGTTGTGAGTAGTGACTGATTATATAGTTTCAAGTTGGGACGGGGGTTAGGGATAGCATAAGGCGGTCAGGCTAATGTCAAACTAAGATTGTCTTTTGCCTTTAGCTAAGGATTAACATTGAGGCAGTTGAGCTCCATAAGCAAGATCACTCTCACTGTCTCAAATATTATCAATGGGCTGTACATTGTAAGGAAATTTAATATTTTTCTATATTTGTTTTGCCTTTGTTCTCCACAACGATTCATAGGATAAAATAAACCATTTCATAGAGTATTTGGATTGTAGCAATAATCAAAATATGCATTTTCAGCTGTTTCCACACTGAATACTTTTTCTCTGAGCAGGAGGGAAAACTGCTATTTCTCATATCAGATTTTGGCTGCGGACGATCCACAGCATGTTCAGAACACAAATACAGAGAAAGATCAAAAAGGTTCTTCGTGAATCATTGGATCTACTTAACATTTTCCTCTATCAAAGTATGTTTTATCAGTGATCCTTTCCACTGATCCATTGCAGATGCCGGTCCCTGGAGTTCCAACAAGCATTTCTGAGTGACGCAGAACACTCTTGCTCACAACTAGCCTTGATAAAGAATCAAAAATATAAATAAAATCCTGAATAGCGTTTAATGACATGAATTTATCAGATTTTCCCTTCAAGTATGAATCAAGTGAAATATCTTTTTGTATTTGCTGTAAAAACAGTAACAATAAAAATGCTGTTGAAGGTATTTTCTCTTATACCACTCCATGTCTTATAATAGACTATAAATAAAGTAATAAGAAATCATTTTTTCTTTTTTTTAAGATTATTTATTTATTTATTCATGAGAGACACAGAGAGAGAGTGAGGCAGAGACACAGGCAGAGGGAGAAGCAGGCTCTATGCAAGGAGACCAACATGGGACTCGATCCCGGATCCCAGGATCACTCCTTGAGCCAAAGGCAGAGGCTCAACCACTGAGCCACCCAGGTGTCCCTTAGAAGGTTTTTCTAAAGTTGATCTTTTGGACCAGTACTGCAAATCTGTCTCTGATATTTGCAGGGTTATTAGTACAAATAAACTTCATATACCATATGCCTAAATATTTAGCAAACTTAAAAGAAATTTTCAATCTTACTATCTTAAGAGGTATGCTTCCATAAATAATAATAGGCTGTGATCCTTAGCCGCCTGTGCAACCATTACTAAAAGCTTGCAAATTTGTGCTTTCTCTGGAAGTATCAAACAGAATAAAAGCTTCATTTGAACAGAAAATGAAACAGGGAATAGATAGATCCTCAGCACTCTCAGATATGACACTTCAGCATGACAGTATCTTTTGCATTTGTGCTAGGAAGAGGAATTTCACATGCTAGTAATTTACCTTTTTACTCCCTTAAGAACCCATGATTCCCAAATCCTTCCTGCATTCCATAAAAGTATCCATTTGTGAATATTGACAGGGGTATAAACCCAAAACTGACTTAATATTTGGAAATGGCTAACTTTTGTTTAAATGGAACTTACAAGAGATGTGTTCTGAATTCCAAATGGGATGGTTTTCAAGCTAGACCTCAGAAT